AACCGAAAGGCTATGAATGAGCTCGCCAAACGACTGGGCAAGCAGATGGACACCTTTGAGGCGCTTTGCGAGGACCCGGCAATTGTCTCCAAAGTGCACGATTCACTCATCTCCACCGGACTTTCTATTGGCATGAAGGGAAAGGAGTTGCCGGTGAAAATTACCCTCGTTCCGGAAGAGTGGACGCCTGCTAACCTGTAAGTAATTGTAGTCTTGAATCTTTTTTCAAGTTCATTCATTCATTGATGATGGCATTGTTTTCTTCTCTCCTCATTGCAGATTGACTGCAGCCTTCAAGTTGAAGCGCAAGGCAATCACCGACTTTTACGTCGACCAGATAGCAAACATGTTCTCTTCTTCTGCCGCCGGTGACAGTCACAAGCAGTCGATTACGGCGAGGTCTCACTAGTCAAAAGTGGCAGCTTTCTCTCTTTCTCTATGTATAAGTTCAAATCATTCACCCTCTTGGCAAGCTCATTTCATTCGCCATCAAACATTCGACGCTGCCGATGCACTAGATTAGATTAGATCCGTTATACTGTTGGTAGTCTGTACTGTAACGAAAAAACTCCTTATCACCGCCCTTCACCCACTTTCTGATCTTGGCCCACAGTCAAAGTCCAGACAGTAAAATAGACGAATGTCTCTGAAAGGTAGAAGTAAACTCTCGTGTGTTTATAAATAAAGAACTGGTCTTCACTTTAGTTTTGTTTTGATCATTTCTATTTAGTTGTACGTTTTGTGTACACTTGTACTCCTTTCTTTTTTAGTCATTATCATATTATTTAATCATCATTATAATGCAATCTACTTTCACTGTTCTAGATATTAGCACCAAAACTGAACTTCAACCACCTTATAATATCCTGCATTTTTATTGCGCATTTTTTATTTGAACATTTTTGAAAAAAATGTCTCGACAACTTCTTTTTCAACTGCTGGCGCTGCCCGCTAAAGCTGCAGTAAACGCCTATACTTGGAGCACACTTCCTTTTTATACTTTATATCAAAAGCCATTTAGCAAACTTCGACTTGCAAAGAACTTTGGCGTAATCTCAACGGTGGACCCAAAGACTGGCCGTCGAGTGTACAGTCGACCGACACCTCCCGACATCGATCACCCATACTTAAAGTACCAGGTTTTCAATGACATTATCCCTACGTTGGACCGAAATCGTGAGGTGTTGGGCATTCGAGATGTAATTTCTGAGGTGCCTGCCGTCGACGAACAAACCGGTGAACCGGTGATCATTGACGGAAAGCCACTAGTGAAAGTTCAGCTGGCAGACGACTTTCGTTATTTAAAGGTGGGAGAAGTACTCGATCGCGTGGAAGCAATCGCAAAAGGTTTAAAGGAAAATCTGGGAGTAAAGCCAGGCGATCATGTGATGATCTACGCAGACAACAGCGCCGAGTGGTTCTACAGTTGTCTGGCACTTCTGCAGATCAACGCCGTCATGGTGACGCTCTTCTCCACACTGAATGACTCTGGAGTAGTTTTTGGAATCAATCACAGTGACGCAAAATTTGTCATCACTTCAAAGAGACTTCTTCCAAAGATCAACCGACTCAGTGGGCAGTTTGAGAAGGTGAAGAGTATTGTGTACATTGATGAAAACGGCAAAAACGATGATGGTAACGTTGAGCAGTTGAAGGCAAAGGGCTTGGAGGTAGTTTCACTGGAGCAACTTGCAGAAAATGGGTCTAAGTTGCCAAAGATGGATTTTCCATCACCTAATCCCGATGATACGATGTTAATTATGTACACATCGGGAACAACAGGTGTGCACCTTTTATTAGCTTGTTCAGCCGCTAACAACAGAAATTATTTTTCAGGTAATCCTAAAGGAGTAATCATCTCTTACCGTAACTTCTCGGCCGAACTGCACAGCTTGTTGCGAATGGATTTGGAAAATGACAAAATCTGTTTTAGCTCAGTTTTTGCCGGGTACTTGCCCCAAGCCCACCTTTTCGGTTTGGTCATGAATTTAGGACTTTTCATTAGCGATTCAAAGGTAAGGGAACAGAGACAGGAATGCCGTATTTGTAAAGAAACAATAATATTTTGCTGTCTACAATTTTTTATTGTTTGTTTTGTCAACAGATTGCCTTTTGTAGCCCCTTCACTTTGCTCGACTCTAGTCCTGCTCATATTCCGGGGCAGGTGGGCGATCTGCGGTTGATTGCACCGGAGTTTCTAGGTGTGTACCTTTGTATCAGCAAAATACGTTATTACTAAAACCTCTTGCGCTCCCTAAAGTCGCCGTGCCGCTAATGCTGGAACGCATCATCAAGGAGATCTACCGAAAGTTGAATGAACGTTCAAGTATAAGCGCCCCCGTGTTCACCTATCTAATGGACTACAAAATTCGCTGGACGGCTCGAGGTTTTGACACGCCCATCATCAACAGACTGGTTTGCAAAAAAATCAACGATCAATTTGGAGGTCGTTTGCGGTATGCATTTATGGTTCAATTTGTTAAAAAGTGTACTAAAATAATTTTTTGTTAAACTCATTTTCAGTCTAATTGGCGTAAGTTCTGCGCCTTTGAATGAGAAAACTCAAGCACTGGCTCAGGCTGCAATGGGCGTGAAGGTGGTGCAGGCGTACGGCAGTACAGAGATGGCAGGTGAGTGAGTTGATTTTTCAGTGATTTAGATTTTGATAATGAATTTTTAGGCGGCTCCCACGTTACATTACAAAATGATTTAAATTATGGAACAAGTGGTGTCCCTTACCACGGAATCAAGTACTACCTTGAAGACTGGCCAGAGGGTGGATACAGTGCAAATGACAAGCCCAATCCAAGAGGAGAAATTGTCGTCGGAGGAGATACAATCACCAATGGCTATTACAANCGAGGACTGGCCAGAGGGTGGATACAGTGCAAATGACAAGCCTAATCCGAGAGGAGAAATTGTCGTCGGAGGAGATACAATCACCAATGGCTATTACAAGTTACCAGAAGAGACGAAAGAGGTCTTTTTTGTCGATGATCAAGGAACGAGGTGGTTTAAAAGTGGCGACATTGGAGAGGTACTACCTGATGGAACACTGAAGATTATCGGTAAGAGAAATGAAATNGGAGGTCTTTTTTGTCGATGATCAAGGGACGAGGTGGTTTAAAAGTGGCGACATTGGAGAGGTACTACCTGAAGGAACACTGAAGATTATCGGTAAGAGAAATGAAATTAACTTTTCTAAATGTTTACAAATGTGATTTTAAAATTACATCAGATCGCCGAAAGGACCTTCAGAAACTTGCAAACGGCGAGTTTGTCTCACTGGGAAAGATTGAAGCCGGTCTCCGAAGCTCACCCTTTGTAGAGAACATCTGCGTCTGCACACACCCGTACAGTAATCACCTGACAGCGGTTATTTCACCAAATAATCGAGCGCTGCTGGAGCTGGCGACAAAACTTGGGTTTCTTCAAAGTGGTAGACCTTCAGTGGCAGAGCTGTGTGCCGATGAAACTATTCGTCGGCAAATTTTCTCCTCCATTCAATCTCTGGGTACTGAACTGGGTTTTAAAATCCGCGAGATTCCAGCCGACATCACCCTCGTTCCAGAGGACTGGGCACAAGTCAATCTGTAAGTTGTTGATTTCTTTTTGTTTGTTTTTCCATGTTGGCTAACTTTTGTTTGATTGTTTGTGTGTTTTAGATTGACGGCAGCAATGAAAACAAAGCGACGGCAGGTGAATGACTTTTACCGTGGTGAAATTGCGCGCATGTTTGAGCAGTTGTCAGCAGCGGAAGAAACGATTGGAGCTTCAGCAGTGGGTGGCGCTTTTGAGAGTGTTGGTGGTGGTCTACAGTTTGGTGGCAAAAATGGCGAAAACGGCGTCACCAGTGGTGCTTGAAGTGCTGTTCAATTTAGTTTAGCTACTCTATCATCTCATCACCATTCACCCACATCATTTGACCTGTGCCGCCCACTTTAAATGACTTATTAATGATAACATGTGATTCTTCTTTTTTTGTAAAGCACACATTGGTATGCAAATGAAGCTTTTGATTGCCAAAACTGATGTGTATTTTTATCAATCAGCATAGATGATTATAATTAGCATGACTG